ACACACATTAGGAAGATGTCTTCACTGCCAGAGACATCTGTGAGAGACTGAGAAGATTGATGTCTAGAGACACTCTGGAGTGCATGTGTGAGGGGGCAGGGGCAGGTCAGGCCTTGCCCTGCTCCACAACCCCCTTCCTAGAGCCTGTATCCCAGCCCTGCTGTGGCTGCCAGTTCCTGGCACAGGGGGGAAGGCTCCACACCCCTCTGGAGCCCCTAACGCAGCTCCTAAGGGCCCATTGACCAGAAGTCCCACCTGGGGGAAGGGCCAGTAAGGCCAAGGGGTACTTTCGGCCAAACGCCAAACAATCAGATGTCTTGACCCTACCTCCTCTTGGAATCTTTATCTGCATACCACTGGAATCCAGGAGTTGTTACTGATACGTGTCCTTTTCTGTGTTTCTTTCTTCTTCTAATTCCCTCTCCTTGGAATCTTTGAGAACTTAAAACTGAACTGGCTTAGAGTTTGCTAAGTTGAATGGGCCAAGTTAATGCTTTGAGAAGTGTTTTATGTTGATTGAAATATTTTCAAAGTTTCTTTCATTTTCTAAACTTCAATAAAGTTCTTTTTGTTGTTTTGATCTCTTGAGAATACCTTGTCAGTATTTCTCCTGTGGGTTTAACTTAAGAGTACACGAACAACTGTAAGCCCTTTTCAATGGCTCATAGAGTGAGTAGTCTGGGGATTTCACAGCACTCAAACCTTCTTATTCTCTGGGTCATCATTTCTCTAAATTAGCGTGTCAGTTTTGGCTGGGAGAGAGTTAAGTTTCTTCATAGCAGCTTCATGGCACAGGTATGGCGCTGTGTTTTGGATTTTTCTGGACACAGTGTTGGTAATTCCAGGAGGTTTCTGTCATTTCTGAGCAGTGCTCACATAGTCAAGTCCTTCCCTGCACCTCACACAGCCCAACCAGCGAGGAGAATGAGGGTGCACAAGGAGCTGGGAGGGGACACAGCCAGGACAGCTGTCCCCAGCTGGGCACAGGGATATCCCACACCATATGGTCATACTCAGCATACAAACCTGGGGAAGAAGGGGGAAAGGGGGATGTTTGGAGCAACAGCATTTGTCTTCCCAAGTCACCACTCTGTGTGGTGGAGCCCTGGCTGTCCTGGAGATGGCTGAACAGCCTGCCATGGGAACTGGTGGGTGAGTGCCTTGTTTGGCTTTGTTTGTGTGCACAGCTTTTCCTTTACCTACTGAACTGCCTTTACCTCAACCCACAAGTTTTCTCACTTTTACCCTTCTGATTGTCTCCCCCATCCCGCTGCTGGAGTGAGTGAACAGCTGTGCAGCATTTAGCTGCCAGCTGGGGTTAAACCAAAGCCATCAGTCACCATCAACCACCTGTAGAAGATTTCCCTGTAGAAAGTAAACCAAACCACAGTTCAGTCCCCTTCACCCCCCCTTCACTTTGAAGAAACAGACTGATATAGTACATCCGTGCAGTAACATCTGTCTGTGGTTAAAGCAAGCTGTGCTACCAGTGTGACAAGTGCCAAACAAGGCTGTCTGCTGATCTGCAGCATCTCTACGAGGCCATTTGTTTCCAAAATACAATAATTTACAATAGTGAATGTGTGTTGTAACACACATTACAACCTCCTGCAGTTGCTTATTGCTTATTCCCTCCTCAGCCATTGGGATGCAATCATAGAGGCAGGAAATAATTGTAAATTGTCATTAGAGCAACCTCACAGAAACAAAAATCTAAACACTAAGACACAAGACTTATCACAAAGATAAATTCACAACAAAGTAACAGCGCATGTTGCACTTTTCAGACTATTACACAAGTAAGGGTCCCTATAGAGTGAAGAAACCAGTCTACATTCAAGTGCTTTACATTCCATATATACAGCCTACTCAAAATACAGATTTCCCAAGTTTCAACCAAATTTCTACCACATATTGCAGAAAGTTCTATTTATTTCAGAATAAAAGCTAAATAGACCTAGAAAGCTTTATGATGTGTAAGAACCCTTTAAAATAAAGCATGCTTAGTCACAAACTATCCACATTTTCTCATTTTGCTGCACTTAACTGCATTCTGTAAAACAAATTTTGATGAGATTTTTAGTGACTAGTGAGGGATGTTGCTGAGCTAACCTGAACTATTGTTCAAACGATAGACACAAAAATAACATATTGAAATAACAGCCACAGATAAGAACATGCATACAAAAAGGGCAGATCTTTCCTTACAGTCAATTTTTAAAACCTGTATTTTAGAGATTACTTTAGCCTGCTTTCCTCTGACAAGTCTAAAAAGCACATAAGTTGTTCTGGAATCACTCTAGCGGAGCACGTTACTCCAGCACCTTTGCCCTTGGGTCTTTATTTACGTTGTCAGTTTTCAGGGTAAATATAACTGAAACTTACAAATCCCTTAGAGCTTTGTTTTTTTCCATATACACTACGCAAAAATCCATTCTCCAGTTTGTACACTGATAAAGGGCGACTAATGTGGATGTGAAATCTTTTGTGGCAGACTTTTGTTAGCAATCTTTCTCCAGTAAAACATATCCTCATTCAGAACACTGCAATATATGGCGGGTATAATTACCCATTAAGTGTGAAGGAACACGGGAAACTGAGCATGTTTAGCAGCCTGAGCAATCTGTTCATTATTTGGCTCTACTAGCCCGGGTCAGCCACTGCCTCTCACAACAGTCTTCCTGTCTACTTAGACCAGAAGATGTTTCAGACAAAGAATGAACTGGAGGTGTCTCGTTGCTCCAGAGTTTGCTGTGCTGGGTGGATATAGAACATAGTTTCTCACACAGGACTAGCACAGTCTTGTAGCATCACAGGATCTATCCAGAACCGCCGACTACACAGAAATCCCCCGAGACGCTTCCCATTTATTCCGCTGTGCCGGGGACAGCCGTGGCTAGCGCAGCTCTGTCCGTGCAGGGGAAGCCAGGCCCGGGCGCTGTGTGCGGCACCCCCGGCCCGGCCAGGCCCGGCCGGGCGCACCCACAAACACCGGGGGGCTCCGAGCCGAGGCCGCGGCCGGGAACCAAAGCGCTGCGCTAGTGGCAGCGCCGAGGGACAGCCAAAACCCAGGGAGCCTAAAGGGGTGCCGCGGGCCACCTCACCTCGCATCCCTTCGCGCCTCAGGTGTCACAAACGCCAGGAGAGGCAGGCGGTCTCACAGGCGAGGATCCAGCACGTCTGGGGACAGCCGCTCTCTCCGGGTGACTCAAACGCAGATGGCAGCGGGGTTTGTTCTCCTCACCCAGATCTGCCGGGCTGGCAGCGGGGACGCCGGGCTCCACCGCCGCCCTGCGCTGGCAAACACGCACTGCGCTTGCGGCTCCTCACCTGAAGCACCGGTATTCCAGCGCTTCCTGGCGCCTCCCAGGCTCGCCAGCCGGCCCCGCGCCCGCAGCCGCCACCAACAGGGACGCCGAGCCCCCGCCCTCCATCGCCGGCAGAGAGCGCGGCAGCGGCGCGTTCCCAGCTCCGGGGCGGGGTGAGCCCTGAGCGGCTCCCGCGGGCCGCTCCGCCCTCCCCCGGCCGCCCTGCGGAGCTGCTCGGCCCCCGCCTCCCGCCCGGTGCCGGGGAGCGGCCGCGCCCCTCCCGCGCCCCTCAGCCGCGCTGCGGAGCCGCGGCCCCAGCAGCGGCAGCAGCAGCAGCAGCCGCGGCCCCAGCAGCAGCAGCAGCAGCAGCAGCGAGCGCTCCGAGGCGCGCGCCGCCCGCGGGGGAGCCCGTGCGGACTCGCCGGGCATCGCCGGCGTCCCGTGTGGGTGCTTCCCACGGCTGTTTCCAGCGCAGCTACAGACTTGTTTACAAAACAAACAAAGGGAGAGGTACCCAAGCAAAACCACAGCTGCTTGCTGTGTGAGGCATTTAATAATTACTTCCTTTGTGCTAGTCTTCTGATAAGTACAAACCTCTCTCAGACACATACTGATTATTTTCTGTCAAGTCAGACAAACATACTACTTACGAACCTGCAATTTTTTCAAGACCTTTCCCTCCACAAAAGCAACCAAACCAACGTGAAACTTGTCCTTTAATTACACTTCCTGGTTTTTGTTGTTGTTTTTATTATTATTTTAGATTATCTCATCTCTCCCTATCTTACGCCCTGCCCTGACAATTGTTTTTTTACAGGTGAGGTGAAAAATCTGACTGAAACTCTGCAAGCCTTACTACAGAAGTGTAGCTGACTACACGAGATTAGCAATACCCATTTTTAGAGTAAATAACCCCAACAGACCATCAGTGGTTGAAAATTCCGGAGAGAACAGATGGAAAGTGTGCACCATCCTCCCGCTCCATTTGCAAGTGTTCCTGCTGGGGTGCACACCCAAAGCTCGGAGTTCCACATCACACAGATCCCACAGGGGTACATCTGGTTTGCCCAATACTCTTCAGAGGAGCTGATGTAGAGCACATATCTGCACATCTATGATGATTATTAGAATTTGTGCTTTTAATTTGTTCAGTGTAAATTTCATGCAGTACTTTAAATTTACAACAGGTAAAAGTTCTTTTTAGAAATAGCACTCAAATATGATTGCTACCTAAAAATTTGGCTCTCATGTCTTAGCACAAAATAATAAATTATACTTAAAAAAATAATGAGATAATTTTTTTGTAACATAAAGATAATTCTTCACTTCAAATGTAAAATATAATTGAAGTAATACATACATTGCAGCCTTGGTAGCTAGAGTCTTTCTTTAATATCTGTTTTTCTAGCTGTCTCAGAATACCTGATATGAAAAAGGGATTGAAGCATCATGAGCTCTTATCCTACTAAGTTATCCTACTAAGATTCTGAATAGGATTAATAACCTCAAGAGTGTAAATGCAAATCATGTTTAAGATCTTTCAGAAAGCATACAGCTTCATTTTTTTATTTTTTTTTACTTTTCACAAATCTATTTCTAACACTTTATATATTTATTTTTTTTCATAGAACCTCTTGATATTCAATAGTTTTGAGGGGAAAAAAAACAAAGACAAAACCATTAAATACAATAAAAAATGAAGTCTTTATTCTTTTGGCTCAACTGTAATGTGGTTTACTGTTCTTTATGGTAATAGCATTTTCCTGCATGCAGTTCACCGACACACAAGTCAATATTTTTGTAAAAGGAGGAGTCAACATCGAATTTTTGCTTGTGTAAGAAACACAAAATGTCCTGATGTGATCAATTATACAAGTTTGCTATTTAATTCCTGTGGAAAAAAAAAAACATTGTGGATCCCATATTATATTTAGAACAGTTCTAGTGCAGCATGAATCAACAAGAATAAGAATAGTCTATGTAAACAAACACCGGTGAAGATTTCATGAATAAAAAGACTACCTTGAAACTTCTGATGCAGGCAGTGCTAGAATTTTAAACAAATCCTCCCCACCACATTTCAATTACAAGTTATATCTATTTGGAAGCAAGTGCATTTTGGACTCAGTTTGAAACTTATTTCACATTAAAATGTGTGCAAAAATACAGTACTAATAAAAAAGCAGAAACCTAAAGCTACCCCATTCTTTCCTTTGTTTCTTATTTTGTGAAGTTCTTGAATTAAAAAGTGCTATGGATAGAAAGTAATAAAAGTGACAGTAACATCAACCTGAAGATAATTCTCATTTCTTATTTTATGTACAAAACGCTGAAAAATAAAATAAAATGGTATTTTTTACAGTATTTATATTTTCTTAGAAAATTCTATCCATGTAGTTTTCAACAGATTAAGCAGTTTGCAACATATCCTGTACAGTCTGACTATGCACCGTACAGTAGTCACTTAAAATTTTAGAATGCAAAGCAAGAAGCTCTTAAATAACTGCAAACTATTGCTTGATGTCATGAAAGAATGATGACCAATTGAACAATTTATTTTACTTAACCACTGAGCTATGGCTTCCCATATTCAACTCTTAACAGTGGAAGGAGTAAAATTACAGCAGCAAAGGCAAGATAAACATGCATCAGTGATAGCTTCCAAACTATCTATAATGGTACAGAATACTTCATATTAGCTGTTGAGAGCTTGCAAATTACACTTACTGTGGTACATATTTGATGCAATAAATATTGTGCACATGTCATTATTTGTTTGCTCAAACATGCACCACGGGATAAATTAACTATTTACATAGAGGGTACTTTTTTAATCAACACATACAATGTCAACCTTGCTGAGAGCAGAAGATGGCTAAATGATACTGCAGGGTGAAGCAGAACAACTTCATAATCCTTATGTTTTGCAAGTTTTTGGTAAACTCAATTTTCCAAGATCAGGTAAACTGTTTTCCACAGAAGAATACTTAGAAGTCAACTCTATGTCCCTTGGTAGAATTTTTATGCAGAGATTGTTCAACTATTGTTAAATGACTTATGAAAAAATAAAACATCTGTTCTATTATTGTAGACTCTATGGGACTTTACAGGCACATTAAGATTTGTCTGGATGAGATACTAGATGGATACTGTTATTAAGCACCTCAACATACAGAACCACCCTGAAACATGGAAGTAGTCAGACTGCTGCTTTGTGCGACGTCATGTTTTCCCATGCATGAACTACAAGTGCAGCATGCCTTCATGCAAATCACTTCTGTCTGTACATTATAGAGAATCCGAGAGTAGAACACCTGGTCCTCATACCCCCTTCCCCAACATAAAACCCATTTACAAAAATAGTCACATATAATAGTAAACAACCTGTGAATTAAAAAATGATAAGTTCACCAACACTGATTTTTGTAAAAATATGGCAAATGTGACTGTTGAAATGCTAACAGTGGATACAATTTTTGTACTGTGTGTTTCATGTTAAACACAGAGATTCATAGGTTTGCACCTTTTTTTTCAAACTGGTCCCTACAGTCTGGTTGGCCATTTTATCACCTCTTCAGCAGTGTCAGCTGGTACTAAAAACAACAACCTCCTGTCAAGATGTTACCCTGTTTTACAGAGTTGCAGTTTGATGACGAGGGGTCACTGTCTTGCTATAGGCACTGACCTTATATATATATATATATATATATATAATTATATATATATCTATATATGTAAAAACTGACAGTTTGGCATGTACCTCCTACAGGAGTCCTGTTGACACAAATACACACTTTTCCAGGCCGTAAACAGTTTATTACAAACAGCGTTCTATGTTACTTTTTACTTTCCCTGCTGTCTTTACCTTTATCTTCTTTTTCTGATTTGTCTTTTTCATATTTATCCTTGTCTGGCTTTGTTACACTGTCATAAGAAGGTGGGGAGGTTGTGGATGGGGTCATATCTGTTTTTTCTGGAGTGGAGTTCTCATTTAGTTTATCCATAATCATATCTTCTTTCATGGGCAGATCATCTTCCTCTTTACCTTTATCCTGACTAAATATACATGATACTTTTTTAACTTTTAGCCTTAAAAGGTGACGTCTGTAAGCACGCTGAATGATGACAGCAGACACCTCCTCCTGCTTTCGTTTCAGTGTGGTTGTAATGGGTTCATAGGAGACTTTAGAAGGATTGGCTGCCATAAACCGATCTTCCATCTGTATTCTGAGGGCATCCATCTCCCCACTTTCCCCCAATACACGCTTTGTGAAAGCAAACAAGATGTCAAGGCAGTGAATTCTGTCACCGCTCACCATGGGCAGGTCCATTGCAATAAGCTGGACTTTGTTTGGTTT